CATGTTCGCTTACCCCCCCCCCCTCTGCCAACTCCCAGTCCCGTAGCTTGAGCTTTGCCAAAAAGTGATAAAATGATAAAAGTTATTGATAATTCTAACAACTAATATTGTATTCGTAATCAGCATGTTCGCTTACCCCCCTGTGCCAACTCCCAGTCCCGTAGCTTGAGCTTTGCCAAAAAGTGATAAAATGATAAAAGTTATTGATAATTCTAAAAACTAATATTGTATTCGTAATCAGCATGTTCATTACCTCGTAGTTTAAAATCTGCAAGTAGTCGATGAATTTGGTAGAAGTAATAACAAGTTTCCATACTGGGAAACGATAGACACGAAAACACCATCGAGGACCTATAGACAGCATCAACAACATGCTTATCCACCAGCGTACAGACAAGTACACCATTCGGTTTTATATATATAGAAGGATTCAGACTCGCATAGCATTAATGGAGTTTTAAGTTGGTGACAGCCGGAGAAATCGCGCCTCTTGACCGTCTCCCTAGCAAGTTACGGTCTCTTTTCTATGCAAAATATGCGTGCTCCTCGACCTACTGATGCTACGGTGTCGACGTCTAGGTGGTTTTGCAATTGTATAATGCTCCCTTTCAAGCTCGAAAGAATTAATGATGCTGTTTCAACATCCTAGCACTTTTTCCGAGTAAATATTGATCTACACGCCGTCTCACGACATTCAGAAGTTTGTTAATTACTCACAACAACAAGCCAATAACTCGCTCCGGAATAGAGCTAAGCAGCTAGGAACAGCGTATTTGGAATCAGCGTTCAAAGCTGTTTACAAAATTATGTATCTCATCTCAAAAGGCGAATCTAACAAGGAAATGGTCAGATATCGAAGTGGCTAATCCAGACAAGCTGCATATCGTTAGGTGCTGACTCTAAATCTGTCTTCTTTATCTGCTTATCGCATTCCTGGACGAAGCTATAAGCCGTTAAAGGCCATATTTTGGCTAAGAAATTGTGCGCGAAAGTAAAAATTTGGCCGTAAATAGGGTTCAAATATAGCAAACGTTCAGTGTCTTCTCTACTAGAACTAGATGTTTTAATCTCATTCAGGTTCCTGGTTAATGTGTGCGTCCCTTGCAGAAAACTCAACGCCTTGGCAATTATGCACTCTCAGGCTTTCAGTGCATATTATTTACTAGCTGGCTTACCCGGCTCCGCCGTATGTTTCGAATAGAAAATTTCATTTCTTAACCGATCCGGACCGATCCGCACAAATACACTTCGGGCCCCGGCGGGTGTCACAGTCCACTCTTCGTTATCGATCGATATCGATCTTATCGATATGTATTGATTTTTTTTGCTGAGTTCACCTACGGGGCTGGGGGTTGGCACAGGGGGGTAATCGAGCATGGGGATTCCGAATACAATATAAGTTTTCAGGATTATCGATTACTTTTATCGATTTTACACCCCCCTCTGCCAACTCGCAGCCCTGTAGCTCAAATTATGCAAAAAATCGATAAAATCGATATCGATAGATACGAAAAGTAGCCTATGACACGCTCCCCGCCCCGAAGTGTATGTGTGCCAAGTTTGGTCCCGATCGGTTCAGAAATGGAATTTTCTATTCGGAACATACGTACATACAGACATACAGACATACATACAAACATACAAACAGACATTCAGCTTTATATATAAGATTGGAACCCCAATGACTTCACATCTTCAACCGCGCATAATATCTTTTATAGAATCTCGCAGCAGGTATGGAAGGTAGCAGAATCAGCTCATCAAGACGCATCTAATAATATGCATCAGATTCCAGTTCGCCACTGCGGAGAGCGGCCAGGATCCTCCAAAGGCTCGTTGCTTCTTCTCCAGGCGCACCCGTGGGATATTTTCATTTCGCGCCTACCTCGCACCTATCCCGCACATTCGTGCATTAGTTCCCCTTCAGACTCCTGCCTTGTTTCTTCTGGCGTTAATTAGAGAGGTCAGCATATAAGTGACGAGTAAAGGAATTCTAAAGAATGAAAGTGCTGTGAAAACAGGCATTAAAATAACCAGACAGATAAGAAAGTGTTTCTGACCGTGGGCATTAAAGAAGTAGTTGGTGAGATTAGGGGCCTTAAATGCTAACTAAATATTTAGTCGATTCACAAGACTCCTTTGTAAAAATTATGCATGAAAAAATATAGATGAGAAAATCTGTAATCATTTTCTTCCAAAGAAGGTGCGACAAAAAGAGAACAAACATAGCAATAAGGTGAGGCTGAACAAATAATGGAGGCGAATTGCTCTTCTAATTTTCTTGAATTACATACCCATTTGGAAGATTCAGTGCTTATAAGATTGGTTGTAGTGCAAATGGCCAGCTATATAACATGCGAAAAAAGATAACTCCAAACTGTTTTTCAGAGCTGTACGTTTTCCAAAATTATCTGTAACTCGTCGCTCTGTGAAAACATGATCAGCTTTCATTCTGCTCTCACCTACCACATCTTCAATGAACACGATCGGAAGCACTTTCTTCCATAGCAATTTCATTATTTTTTTGGGAATCATTTACTCGTCGCTTATGTAATTCCTTTCTGATTACGCCAGTAGAAACAGGAAGGTTGCCCGGAGGGGAACAAATGCGGAAATATGCGAGATAGGTGCGACGTAGGCGCGAGGTATTCGCGAAATGATAATTATCTCCGCCGGGTGCGCCTGGAGAGGAAGCGGCAGGCTTTGGAGGATCCTGACACACCGCCCGCCACTGCTATTGATTCCCTCCTTCGTCAGAGTATGAACACAGGAAACCTGAGGCGTAGGGAACACAGTAACATCTGTGTTTCCTACGCCTCAGGCGTAGGAAATACCGTATCCTTGGCAGAGGTGCGATAGGTGGAGCCGGGCCCCCAAAAGTGAAGGTGGTTCCAGCTACCACTGGCCGGCCAAAAGTGAAGGTGGTAGTGCCGGACACTCACCTCCCAAAAACGTCGACCGGGGGGGGGGGGGGAGAAGGGGGGGACTTCGGATAATTGAAGAACTCTGACCCAACGGTCTCCTTGAGGGCCAACAAGTGTGACCTAACGGCCCTCTTTAGGGCCACAAATACGATGAGTATAGCGGCATAAAAATAAAATAAAAAGAAATAAATATGTTATTCAAATGGTCTATTTGTAAGTAAATCCCAGTTAGACTTTACATATTTCATTAAGTAGATTTTGTTATAACGTACTGCGAATAAAGTAGGTCGATCCAGGCAGTAACCACCGAGAATCAGAATTTCAAATAACAAAATAGCGAAAAATCATGCGAAATTTCCACTGTTATAAATCTGATGGTTGAAGATGTTAGCAACTGCGACTTCATAGGTTTTGAAGGGCTAGTGTTGTTCTACCAGTCAGTGAAAGAATTAGATCGATCTGAGCAGTACTCGCCGAGAGCGAGAATTTTAAAAAATTAAGCGATTTTAGGTTGCTTAGTGACAGCTGAAGTTTAAACTCCTATAAATATGGAATGTGAAAATATGCAATGTTGCGACTTCATAGGTTTTGTGGAGTAAGGATTGCTCTACCGGAGTATGCCTTAGCCGTACCGATCCATTGAAATAGCGCCGAGATCCAGGGTCTTGAAAAAGCAGGTAAAAAACCGCTTTTTGAACTTCAGCAGCTCATAACTTCTTCAGAATTGCATGAATCATGTTGCGACTTCATAGGTTTGATTCTTCTCACCAAGAGCTTTCAGATGATATATAATATGTGGGGGATTCGCGCCTTTCACGGCATATGCCCGGGGGTGGAGACTTTTCACCCCAAAGTCTCCACTGGCGGTCTCCGGCCAATACATTAACATGGGCGAGGTGGAGACTTTGGGGTGAAAAGTCTCCACCCTGGGTTAGAGCCGCAAAAATCATTGAACCCCCCACATACTATATATCATCTGAAAGCTCTTGATGAGAAGAATCAAACCTATGAAGTCGCAACATGATTCATGCAATTCTGAAGAAGTTATGAGCTGTTGAAGTTCAAAAAGCGGTTTTTTACCTGCTTTTTCAAGACCCTGGATCTCGGCGCTATTTCAGTGGATCGGTACGGCTAAGGCATACTCCGGTAGAGCAATCCTTACTCCACAAAACCTATGAAGTCGCAACATTGCATATTTTCACATTCCAGATTTATAGGAGTTTAAACGTCAGCTGTCACTAAGGCTCCCGCCAGAGTGCCGAAGTTATGCCAGTGCTACGCCAGCATTTCGATCGATATACGTGTATTTCGTTGGGGACGTGAGCTAGCCCCGCCCCAATTTCGTTGGGGACGTGAGCTAGCCCCGCCCCAACGAAATACACGTGTATCGATCGAAATGCTGGCGTAGCGCTGGCATAACTTCGGCACTCTGGCGGGAGCCTAAGCAACCTAAAATCGCTTAATTTTTTAAAATTCTCGTTCTCGGCGGCCACTGCTCAAATCGACTCGATTCTTCCACTATCTGGTAGAACAACACTTGCTCTTCAAAACCTATGAAGTCGCAATTGCTGACATCTTCGACCACCAGATTTATAACAGTGGAAATTTCGCATGATTTTTCTCTACTTTGTCACTCGAAATACTGGTTCTCTGCGGTTACTGCCTAGATTGACCTACTACATGGATATATGCTCTCAATACTTTCTTTTTCGTTTCTTTTGCTCATTTTCCTTCTTTTAATCTTCAGCAAAAAATTTTTTTCAAACCCAAAAGTGAAGGTGGTCACCCGGTACCAGCTCAAAAGTGAAGGTAGGCGGAGACTCGGCTCCAACTATCGCACCTCTGATCCTTGGGCATCAATGGGTAACGAGCTTGGGGAAATGCCCGATACACTTTCACGAACGCGACTAGTGGCCCAAGCGACGCGGTTTGCAGCGGCCTTGATACTCACATTGAGATTCCCTGTACGCACTTGTATATCATCCACTTATAATTTTCTTTGCAGTCTAACTGTTTGATAGAGTGTTCTTGTAACATCATGGAAAAGATTCGCTTTTCTAAACACATCATTTTCAGAGCTCCCGTGGTGCTCCAAAACAACGAGTCGAGGTCTTTGAAGGATTGTAGAATTTGAGGACAACGTAGTCTACAGAACTGTTAGTGAATTTCTTCAATTACTTCATTTTGCAAGTATCTGAAACAGGTCTAAAATGTCCTTTAATGCAAAACATTACTTACCATTTGATGGTTGTGAATACCGGTCTCATCTTGTGATGTTTCGTACAATTCTTTTGAGCTCCTCTATACTTGTAGTTTCGAAATTTTCCTAGTCAGCTGACTCTAATTGAATAATGTACTTCTGCTCTCAATATGCGAATCTAAACTTTGTCGACACGGATCTCTCCAATATTTGGATTTTTCAAAATCCTCTAGGCGAATCTTGCGGTAAGCAGTCACAGCTTGATAGCACTGCCCGTGCAAGCTGATCTCCAATTGTTTATGGTTTCTGGGCAGAATTGTCGCAAAATATATTTTTGAAACGGTGGAAAGTGGACCTTCAAATTTCTTAGAACAATTACGAATGAGGTATTGCGGAAAACGTGTACGGCGATTTTCCTGGCCTACATGGACTGTGCTAATTCGTGGTCACACCACTGCGGGAGAGATGCTCTTTGCTCGAAACCTCATAAATTAATACTATTTTTGATTTGTTGCAGCAAAACTGCGCAGAAGTTATGTCGTTCTTCGATAGCGCTACCTCCTTATAAAGGTGTGATCAGGTTTCAGTTTGGTACAGAGGCGGATGCCGCCTTCTTCTGAAAACTTGTTAAATTCCACCTTACAAAATTGCTTTTCGTACTCTCTCGCTATTATAAACCACCGCGCTTTTAGCTGTCACGAGTCCGCCTTTATACTAACCTGGGAGGCGATTTCTGTGCTTCCTGAAGTCCTCATGTTCCGCGACATTCGTAGAAACTTCCATTCTTAGACTGCTTTTACACATACAGGATGTTCTGAAACAGTTCCAACACACAGCTCGAATTATTCCGGAATGTGCTGCAGTTTTATTGAGCGGCAACGGTGGAGATTTATTTTGGACCGTTTCCAACGTTCTTTTGAGCCTGCAATCATTTTGTCCTCATTCCTCTACTCCGCTTCACTTTTTCATGGCGAAGAGCTCCAAACTTAAAAGGAGTTTGAAGAACGAACGAACCTGTGCTTCATGTATTCAAAAAAATGTGCCTTCGTGAGCACATCCCCTTCTCTCTTGATTATTTCTGTTCAGACCTACTTTATGTTTTAGATGTCTGACAGTTTACCCAACAGTCGTCGGACCTATCTGACAAGATTTTAGGGTTGTTTTGGTGGAGAAAAAAGACTTGTTTGTAGGGCGGACGTGACTGTTGGGTGCTAGGGCGAACTTACCTGAGTAAAAAAAGTGGTGCTTAAAGGCAGCGTCCGGGCAAAATTTTGGATGGAATTTTTTCTCGCTTACCTGGGCATATTCCTCTCGCTGATTCTGAAAATGCAGCTTGGAGGGCATGAAAAAGTCGAAAACGGGCTTTCAGGGAAGTTTTTGGATTGAATTTTGTCGCCTGCTGCCAGGTTTAAGACGCAGAGTCTTTGTGGGACCCTACTCTTGACTGTGTGCGGTATGCGCACTCTGGTTTAAACTAACTCGTCCCGGTCGCCGGAGCGTTCCGGTCACCACTTCTGGAGCGGATTTCTCGCTTTAGAAGCAAACTAGCTGGCAAACCCGGCTCCGCCCGGCCCTGTCATTATTATATTCGTAATCAGCATGCTCGATTACCCCCCTGTGCCAACTCCCAGCCCCGTAGCTCAAATTTTGCAAAAAATCGATAAAATCGATACCGATCGATAACGAAAAGTAGCCTATGACACGCTCCCTGCCCCGAAGTATATGTGTGCCAAGTTTGGTCCGAATCGGTTCAGAAATAAAAATTTCTATTCCGCACATACGTACAGACATACAGACATACAGACATTCAGCTTTATATATAAGATTGGTTCATTGCCAGTTGGGCAAGAGCCTTATCAGGACGGGCACCCCTGTACTCTACATTTTCGTATCTGCCCGGACGCTGCCTTTAGAGCATTGTTCTTCAGCGTTAACTTGAGATTAAGCATGTCATACCCGTGCATTTTTCGTATACCTATTCCATCTATGTTATTTCAAAAATAAACGCGCCTTTACACTATCGCAGTTTTCATCTTGCAGGAAAGTGATTTCTAGCAAGATTTAGCAACAACACTACAAGATTCCTGGCAAAGGAAGGTTACACGTTGTGAAAGAACGGTAAATTCGGCGAAAATATGAACTGTGCTGCTCAACTGAGGCGGGTCATTCATTCAGAAAAGGAAAGTAACACCTTTGATTGAAACTCATTGTCCATCTACACTGTGCAGCCTTCTCACCCATTTTCAGCTACATGTCTCAAAATTAGCGAAGTTGTTGAGCACATTAAATACCGCACTGAAACAGGAATCATCGATATAACCCAGAAACTTTTCGAACATCGATGCCGTCAGTAAGTGAGACCTAGGTCCCGACACAGTGAGGGCGCGTGTGACCGCCCGCGCTGCCTTTCAAAACAGTGTCCGGGCAAAAACTCGATTTTTAGAAAATCCACTTACCGGGGGTTATCCGTCGCGTTGAATCCGAAAGTCCAGATTAGAAGGCGCGAAAACGACGAAAACATGCGTTTTCTAAAGCCTTACTGTTCGAAATTCGACGGTCCCCGCCAAGGCAGGGACGAGTTTCGCTACAGTTTCGGGACCCTACAGTTTTAACTGTGGCGGCATGCGTACTCTGCCGCATAGCAGGAACTCAAACAGGTCGGAGGGAGGCGTAAGTTTCCCGGCTTTCCGATCCTTTTTCTTTAGGTCGATCATTATAACCTCGTACTTGCGCGATGCTGTGTCTGAGGATGGCCACTTTCGCATGGCGCTGAAACCCCAAAACCCCCATTTTGTCCGGACACTGCCTTCGAAGGCAGTGTCCGGGCAGTTTTGCACCTTTTCGGATTCTATCATAATCGAGTATTAGGCCCCGATCTAGAACGCGCAAATCCGACTTTCGAACACACCCTGCAAGTGGAGGAAATCGGAGCAGAAAAGGCCGAGCCTCGAGAAGCGCGCCCATTTTGCACGGCCTGCATTCTTGGGCGAACTCTCCCCGGTCCTTACGTGTTTTCACGTGGCAAACACAATCGAACAGATAATGTTCACTGTTAATGCTTGCTTTCGACAACGATAGCATTAGGAGCACTTGTCCACTGTTGTTATAAAATTGTTTTAAAAGTGGGGTTTTTTGAGGAATTCACGCTTTCTGAGTGCTACATCTGGAATCAGCGCCATGAAAAGGCCTAGATAAGGCAACAAAATAGGAGTCAAGATACTGCCTGGATGCTGCCTTCGAGTAGATTTAGATGACGCCATAGGTCACTCATAAAAACAATGGTGGCGGCCGCGCGCGTCGCATACGCAGCTCCGACAATCACATCTTCTTCGCTTTCCTCTCATTTCGAAGCGTTTGCAGGTATATCTCAGCCCGTATGCACGTACATCCCCGCGGGGAGGAAGGGGATCGGAGAGCGCGTCACATCCCGCTGCATTGAATATCTTTCTTCTTCGTTCTTTATTCTGCTTATAAAGGTTCTCACTCCCTGATACCTGCTTATAATGGATGCCAAGTTACTGCCGTACAAGATTGAATTTTCACTATTTTGAGTGATCCCCTGGGGATTGTGAGGGGATCACCTCTTTCAAGGTCATTTATCTTCCTAAAGACTCAATGAAAATATTGTAAAATTGTGCCTAGGATATAATATGGCACTGCTAATTGAAAAATCAAAAATAGGGATTGAAAAATTCACAATCTTCTTATATCCTCGAAACTATTTTACAGCGTTTTCATTGAGTTTCCAAGAAAATAAATGCCTTTGAGAATGAGGGGTGAAAATAGTGAAAATTGAACCATGTATGGCAGTAAACTGGCTTTCATTATGCGCGGGTATCTGGGTATGATAACCGTCATAAGCAAGATAGAGAAAGAAGAAGAAAGATATCTGAAGTATCGAAATAAGACGCGTCCTCTCAGATCCCCTCTCCTCTCCGCGGTATGTACTACGTGCATACGGGCCTTGGGTGCTAGACACTTGAAGTGAGTGAGTGAGCTGATTTGAATGTTTTATGCTCTTGTAACTTGGGGGCATAAGCGCAGTCGGATTGGTCACATTTTTATGAGTGTCCTGTAGTGTGCCGCATATCAAGCGACAATCCCGAATGCTTCCTTTTAAACTTTTCACGAAACTGCGACAAACTAGGAGGTAGCGAATGGGCAGATATTTAACACGATGCCATGTGTAAAATTCCGAAGAATTTAGAGAGGCACCTTACATTGCGTGTAAAATTCCGAAGAATTTAAAGAGGCACCTAACATTGCTTGCATTTTGCGCGTGTTATCGCCTTACGCGTACATACCCCTCGTGCGAAAACGATCATTTTCGAGATTCCAAAGAAAAACTGTACAGGGTTGCAACAAAATACGAGAGAAACTGGTGAAGAAAAAACGCCGAGACATTGTTTTCAAGTTTGTACTGCTAAGCGATTTGCTAGTGAAACTTTTTGTGCCTGAGACCTGGCTGGTTGTCAACACAACGTGAAGGCCATCTGGACGGTCTCGTTATATGTAAATTAATCGTGTATATACAAGATTATATATCTCTAATACAGCTGGCGATCTACTTCTATTCTGATTAGCAGTAGCGACAATATTCCATTGTTTTGACAGTCATAATCGAGTGAACTTTCTGAGTTTGTTGTGTTTGATGTTTTGCTTTTTTCAATTGTTTTTTGTTGCTCATCTGCGAATTACTCAACAGCGATACGAGGAGATTGGCCTTATAAGCGATGATTATGCTCTGTGTTTTTGCCTTATGCTTTTTGTACTACTTTTTTTGTCGGTCGGTCGATAAAGTTTATCACCACATGCGTGACTTTCTTACACTTTATGTCTAACATCAACACCGAAATCTATCTCTAGATATTATCCTACAACTGTAGTGCTTCGATTAGGACCTGCACAGCTATAGGAGATAATAGCGGTTTTCTAAAGTTTTTGCTATCGCGTACGCTGTGTTTGCGATCTGCAGCTTGAGTCATGTCTGGGCCTTCGATGAAAAGATTAGGAGGCACTGGTGATAGAGGGTCGTCTGCAAGCAAGAAGGCAAGACCGGAGTTGCTTAACGCTATGATCGATCCGTCTGTGAGTTTGCAAATCCATTATCTTTGGGAGTCTCTGGGTCACACTGTGCTCACCACTCATATTTTTTTGAATGTTCAGAACTTTTACAAAATGGAAGATGAGATTGCTGCTTCTATGACGCATGCTGAACTGGTCAAGTCGTTTTTACATGAGTCCGCGGTTTTGAGGACTGTGTTACAGAAGATTGTAGAAGGAAGTAAAGAGGTAAACATTCATCTGAAATTTATCTTATATATAAAGCTGAATGTCTGTGTTGTATGTTGAATGTTTGTATGTATGTCTGTCTGTCTGTCTGTATGTGTGTACGTATGTTCCGAATAGAAAATTCCATTTCTGAACCGATCGGGACCAAACTTAGCACACATACACTTCGGGCCCCGGCGGGTGTCATAGGCCCCCGTGGGGGTGATCAGCATGCTCGATTACACACCTCTGCCAAATTCCAGCCCCCTAGCTCAAATTTTGCAAAAAATCGATAAAATTGACATCGATCAATAACGAAAAGTGGACTGTGACACCCGCTGGGCCCCGAATTGTATGTGTGCCAAGTTTGGTCCGGATTGGTTAAGAAATGAAATTTTCTATTCGGAACATACGGCGGAGCCGGGTAAGCCAGCTAGTCTTTAATATAAAGCTGAATGTCTGTTTGTCTGTCTGCCTGTATGTCTGTCTGTTATGTATGTATGTATGTTCCGAATAGGAAATTCCATTTCTGAACCGATCCGGACCAAACTTGGAACACATACACTTTGGTCCCCGGCGGGTGTCATAGGCTACTTTTCGCCATCGTTCGATATCGATTTTTATCGATTTTCTTTTGCAGGGTTCTACGGGGCTGGAGTTTGTATATATGTTTGGAGGGCCCCGTGCGCCAATCTGAATAGTATGCAAGACAGTCGTCGTTTTCTGTCGCAATAGCTGCCTGATATCATCATATATATAAAGCTGAATGTGTGTCTGTAGGTATGCATCAGTGGCGTACCGAGGGGGGGGCGGGGGGGGGGGGGCGCGCCAAAAATTTTAATAAGCACCCCAAAAAATTTTTCGAAGTGCGTGGCTAACGCCACGCACCTTCATTAGAAAAAATTTTTTGTCGCGCCCCCCCCCCCCGAGCCGAAATCCTGGGTACGCCACTGGTATGCATGTATGTCTGTCTATCCGTATGTATGCTCCGAATAGAATCTTTTTCTCAAGTGATCCGGACCAAACTTGGCATATATACACTTCGGGGAGGGCAGGTGTCATAGACTACAGTCGAGTAGATTTAGCGGTAAATATAGTGTGCTTGCACAGAAGGTGAAATGCGGTGAAATTTGCGCGTAAACAGGTAGCCACGTCAGTACCGCGGGTATCTTGCGCGCGCAATTGGCCGGCGTCACAGTCGAAACTGTTTTTTCACGGGCCAATTTTACCGCATTTCACCTTCTGTGCAAGCACACTATAACCGCTAAATCTACTCGACTGTACTTTCTGTCATCGACCGATATGGATTATATCGACTTTTTGTAAAGTTTGATCTACGGGGCCGGGAGTGCACAGGGGGGGGGGTAACCGAGCATGGGGATTCCGAATTCAATATTAGTTTTCAGAATTATCGATTACTCTTATCGATTTTATCGATTTTTTGTAGAGTCTGACCTGCGGGGCTGGGAGTTTGCTCAGGGGGCAATCGAGCATGCAGATTCCGAATCCAATATCTTATATATAAAGCTGAATGTCTGTTTGTCTGTCTGTCTGTATGTCTGTATGTCTGTCTGTCTGTCTGTCTGTCTGTCTGTCTGTACGTATGTTCCGATTAGAAAATTCCATTTCTGAACCGATCCGGACCAAACTTGGCACACATACACTACGGGCCCCGGCGGGTGTCATAGGCTACTTTTCGTCATCGATCGATATCGATTTTATCGATTTTTTTGCAAAATTTGAGCTACGGGGCTGGGAGTTGGCACAGGGGGAGGGGGGTAATGGAGCATGCTGATTACGAGTTCAATATTAGTTTGGCGCTATTCGGCTATCCGGGCCCCAAAATTTTTTGTCGTAGAGCCTGCTCAAACTTCGTGTATAAAGGTTATCTTAAGGGCCGGGCATACTTCAAGCGATTTCAATCGCGACGCGATTTGGCAATATTCCAGGTGTCCATAACTCATTGTAAGCACATTATAAATGTGCAGGGGCGGTATGCAACAATCGCCCGTCCGGGTAAGTTACCCGGACAGGTAGTTTCCGCTTCATAGCTCGGTGCTCTGGGGATCTGTGTTCTTCCTTGTTTGTTCATTTTTTTGGAAGCTGTACTACCCTAATATTGTAGCACAATAAGTAGCGGCACTTTGTGTATAAGCTGAGATAATTCGTTATTTGTATGATCCCGAACCAGATCTCCCACTGATCACGCTCATTTTCAATAAAATTTATATCGGCAAAAACTCAATAAAAACGTCACAGAGTTTTCCTGCCTGTCTATTTGACAGTGCTACGCATGTCTGTGAAAGAAATAAGTGAAAAATCAAGTTGACAAAATCTTCGACGAACCTGTGCTCGCGAGTTGGGCTTTAGCGAAAAAATCGAAGCTTGCACATTTCATCTGTGCTACTTACGACATACATAGCACTGTCGTAATAGATCGACAGCAAAACTGTGTGACGTTTTCTATGAGTTTTTGCGGATATAAATAACTTTGAAAATGAGCGTGATCAGTGGGAGATCCCGTTCGGGATCATACAAATAACGAATTATCTCAGCTTATACAGCAAAGTGCTGCTAATCATTGTGCTACAATATAAGTGTAGTAGAGCCTCCAATAGATGAACAAACAAGGAAGAACACAGATTTCCACAGCACCGAGCTATGAAGCCAGAACTATCTGTCCGGGTAACTTACCCGGACGGGCGATTGTTACATACCGCCCAGAACTCAGACAATTGCCGGGGGCAGGCGGGCACCGGAAAAATAGATTGCTGATCTCTCGCACCCCGCTCGCGGATTTTTTGGAAAGCAATCAGGACTTTTCGGAAGACCGCTTGCTGAGTTCTCGATTCCTCAGAGATTCAGCAATATATCTGCAAAAGATAAGAGCGGAAAAAATTCAATAGGCGGTCTCTCAAAAATCCGCTGACTCAGCAAGCGGTCTTCCGAAAAGTCCTGATTGCTTTGCAAAAAATTCGCGAGCGGGGTGCGAGAAATTAGCAATCTATTTTTCCGGTGCCCGCCTGCCCCCAGCGATTGTCTGAGAAGATAGGGCATTTCATCAGTTTACGTAAGTTATACACACTATGCATGTGCCGTTTGCTGATGTTGGATCCGAAGACTTCTGGCGAATTGCCAAATCGCGTAGCGACTGATATCGCGTGAAGTATGCCCGGCCCTTGCTGATTACAGATATCACACTTTCTCCGCCGAACGTCTTCCCGTGGGTTACGATAGGTGTATGGTAAAAAGTCAAAATCATAAAATTCGGCTGGAGTTCGGTCCATATGGCTTATTCGACATGCTGATTACGAATATCATCACTCTCTGCATATAGATTTCGACTTCATGCCATATATGGCATGAAGTCGAAAACATAGATTTGCTTTAAACTTCGTCTAGGGTGGTCATTTAGCGCGCTGAACATGAATATCATGCTGATTTCGCAGGATAGTGCAATTTCTTTGGTTACAATGGGTGTAGATGGGTCGAAGTTCCAGATTTGCTCAAAACCTTACCTGTAACGGTTCACAAATATATCGCTCATGAATATGATGCTTGCTCGCTGTCATAACGCAATAGTGAAGTTATGGTGAGTTGCAGGGTTTGAATGGACAATTTTTCGCTTTCGGGTCAATTTAGATCCCAGATATTCACAAAATTAGGAAACGGTCGTTTTGCATGGCGGTCTCCAGCGCCAGCGCCATCCTGATAACTTGTCTCAACGCGTAACGCACGCGGCATATCTCGCTCCCTCTGTTTTTGCTTAGGCAAAAGCCGCCGAAGGGTGTCTCGCGCGCGGCAGTGGTCCTATAAGGAAATTGATAACCTGTCCCAGTGCGTAACGCACGCGGCAAATCTCAACCACTCCTGGATGCTTCTGAAAGACAACATCCATCAGATAGCTGGCGACCTGCTAGGCCGCACGAAGCCCGGAAGACGAAAGCTCGAGAAAGAAACATGGTGGTGGAGTGACGAAGTGCAGACCGTGATAAAGAGCAAGAAGATGGCATACAAAACATGGCAGAAGACACGATCAGAAGATGCTCACCAAAGATATCTGGAAGCGAAACGAGAAGCCAAGAGAAGTGTCAGAGAAGCGAAAGAGGCGTACGTGGCCGAGCTGTACAGGAAGCTGCACACTCGCTAAGGCGAACGAGAAGTCTACCGAATCGCCAGAAGAAGAGCAAACGCTACAAAAGACATCGAGCACTTCTACAACATCAAAGATGCACACGGTAGGATGCTGAGGAAGCCATAGGAGATAAACGAAAGATGGAGAGCTCACTTCGCAAAGATGGCGTCCGCCAACTCCGAATACGAATCCACCGTAACAGCCGACCCTGTGAATGGACCAATACCAGCTATCACAGAAGTAGAAGTCCGTACCGCCATAATGAAGACGAAGAACGGCAAGGCTACAGGTCCAGACGACATCCCCAACGACTTCTGGAAGAATTGCGGACAAGCTGGAGTCTCGTGGCTTACACGACTTTGAATCAAATAATAGAATGCGGGAGTATGCCAGATGAGTGGTACAGAAGCACGACGATACCGAATACTGGAGACGCGGCTTCGAAATATCATACAACTGGCCCCCCACCAATGCGGCTTCGTAAAGGGATGCAATACAACCGATGCCATCCACAGAGTGAGAATAATGGTGGAAAGAAGCAGGAAAGCAGTGTGAGCTTCATGCGGCATTCCTCGATCTGGAGAAAGCGTTCGATAGAGTACCACATCAACGAATATGGTGGGCGTTACGGAAGCATGAGGTACCAGAAGAATACGTCCGCTGGATCAGAATGATATATAATACAAAGGAGCCACCAGTCACGTACGAACAGCAGCAGGACGCTCAGACGACTTCCAGATAAACGCCGGCGTGCATCAAGGTTCCGTACTGTCGCCGCTTCTCTTCATCAAAGTCGTGGACACGATAGTAAGAGACTTCATACGCCCGCTCCCATGGTCCGTCATGTACGCAGACGATGTGATCCTGATGGCGAGAAGCAGGAAAGAATTGGAGGTTGACGTGAAGACGTGGAAAACGCAACTCGAGCTACATGGTCTGAAGATCAGTACCGCGAAGACAGAATACATGGAGCTGGGACCTCAAACGCCAGGAACGATCAAGCTCGCAGACACGGCAATCAAGAAGACCACGTCGTTCAAGTACTTGGGAAGTTGCATATCAGCAGGTGGTTCACTCCACGACGAGATAAACTGCCGAATAAACGCAGCTTGGATGAAATGGAGGAGCCTTACAGGAATTCTGTGCGACAAACGGATGCCACTGAAGCTAAAGTCACAGATGTATCGCACTGTGTTCCGCCCAACCGCGTTGTATGGAGGCGAATGCTGGAAAAGAACACGTAACGACGAGAGGAAGCTTGGTGTGATGGAAACACGTATGCTGCGATGGACGATGGGCGTAACGATGCTCGACCACGTCACGAACGATACAATACGATCCATCATGAAAGTAGCTCCGATAGTCAAGAAGCTGCAAGAAAGACGACTGCGATGGTACGGGCACGTGAGCAGACGAGAAGAACAACACATCACAAGATTAGCAATGACAGTGGAGGTTCCCGGGAAAAGACCACGAGGAAGACCAAAGCTAAGATGGACTGATCGAGTGAAAGCAGACTTGAGAGAACTTGAGTTAGATGAAAGACAAGTCGTAGATCGAGAAGAATGGAATAGACTGACAAGAGCGGCAGACCCCGTGTAGGGACAGATGCAAGGATAAAAAAATTGGTACAAAAGAGCAGGAGCTGAGCAGGATGTCCCTGAACAAGACTTTTCGGGGGACGGGCAGGACGTCCTGCACTGAATATTGCTGGACAAGTAGGCGACGGTCAACCACGCCATAAGCAATCCAAATGCACGGTTTAAATCAGGTCCTACCGCAGAAAAAGTCTAACAGACAAATCCAGTGAGTTTTTCTGCATGACGAAACATGGCCTCATACGGCAAACGTCGTCAAAACTCTCCTGCACGACTCGAGTGGAAGATACTTCAGTACCCAAAATACTCTCCAAACCTCGCTCTACCAGATTATCATTTGCTCCGCTCTCTGGCAAACCTCATGAATTGTGCATGTCTCGATTTCAGTAAGCAACTTGAGCGCTGGTTAGATGACTTTCTTGGGACCCGGCGCGCTGCCGTTTGAAAAATTGAGGTTGAGAAGCTAACAAGAATGTGCCAAAAGGTGTGCGCTACAACCAGGATTATAATTTTGAGTGATTTTTACTGTAAGATGATTTTGTTGGTTAAAAACGCTACGAACTTATGGAACGACCTAATAGAAGTGGACACAATGAAAGGTTCTACAGGGATAGGGATAAAACCTTAATCATAGCATTGACAGGGCTGGGCGGAGCCGGGTAAGCCAGCTAGTTCTTATATATAAAGCTGAATGTTTGTTTGTCTGTCTGTCTGTATGTATGTCTGTGTGTACGTATGTTCCGAATAGAAAATTCCATCTCTGAACCGATCCGGACCAAACTTTGCATACATACACTTCGGGGCCGGGCGGATGTCATAGGCTACTTTTCGTCATCGATCGATATCGATTTTATTGATTTTTCAAAAAGTTCGAGCTTCGGGGCTGGGAGTGGCACAGGGGTAAGTGAGTATGCTGATTACGAATATATGTATTATTGACAGGGCGGGGCGAAGCCGGGCAAGCCATCTAGTTCGTAAGTAAAGAGGTAAACATCCATCTGAAATTTATTCGTGATCTTTATATCATGCCTTGATTGGCGTACTGCACTTCCTTTTTTGCGAGTGCAGAGGCGCATTTTTAAAAATTTTAATTGTTCCTCGTTTTCAGCCTTGTTCATCTCAAGTGGTTCTGAATGTGGCAAAAATGCGTCGTTGTTCTCGCCTAGTTCACTATGCTACAGCTCAGCTTAGAGCGGAAACAATGGCACGATTGGAACAAGTGGGTATTCTTCTTTCACCCAACTAACAAGGGAAGCATGTTTAGTCGAAGTGGCCTTTTCAGATGAGACCCATGCTGCTTTGAGGAGTATTGCACGGTGATTCCAAATCTAACTTCCAAATCTGCCAAGCGCCTCTGCCTCGAGTTATGACCGTTTTTCGGAACGAAAAATAAATGCAGAATTTAGGTAAAATCGATTGTTACAATCTTTCTAGCGCTTAGATAAAGCAATGCTTAGTATTGGCGTAAGACAAAATGTATTTATTGCATAAACGGCTCTAATACTTGACACTGGACCATTTGAGCCAGTTTGGGCGATTTTGTTCTAGTTTTGCGTTCAATTTTTCTGATTTAAAAAACGCTCATAACTCGGCGTCCAGAGGCACTTGGCAGATTTGGAAGGCAGATTTGGAATCATCGCTTAAAGGCAGTGGCTCGGCAAATTTTAACCCAGTCAAATTCTCGCTTACCTGGGGTTATCAAATGCGCTGATCCCAAAAATCCACTTTAGAAAGCTTGATCATGGCGAAAACGAGCGTTTTGCAATGCCCTTCGCTTGCAAATTGAACGAGTGCGGGAAAAATAAAGACGCGTTGCAGGACCCAACGGTTGAAACATTGCGGCGGGCAGCCTCCATTGGTGAGAGGGGGATTGCCAACTCGTCCCAGCGCGTGTAAGTTTGAGAGCAATTTTCTCGGCAGGGAAGGCATGATGTGAGATTGGGATTGCACTGTTCATACTTGGGTGATAAGCAACTTACCGCATCAAAATCCTGGGTTGTTAAGTTTTGCCGATCCACTGCCTTCAATGCTCCTTGAAACAGTATGGGTCTCATCTGGAAAGTCCATTTCGATTAAACACGCTTCCCTTGTAGGTTTGTTCTGTGATGATTATAGCCCGCTGTTTTAGGTAGAAGCAAAATATTTACACTTACAAAATTCTTCTAGTGAGATACAACATCTTCAAAAAGAGATCAACCGTTGTCTCCAGTTTAGGTTAGTCTGCACTGTTGTAAGTATGCACAGATGAATCTAATATTAGTAAAATCATGGTAAGGTAGGTGAGGCATTCCTTCATTGTAAACGACCTCCTCCCCCCTCTTGCAACCTATCCAGACAACACCTGTCTCATCCTTACCTACTCATCTCGTGCCCTACTGTGGAGCGTAACGCTGTAGCGAGGAAGCTTTTTTTCGAGTTTTTTTTCAATGTATGCCGATTTTTTGAGCTCGCACACGACTGCAAGTATTCACGTAGAAGATGTTTATTTGTTTTGGGCTTCTTGATCAGTTGCCACGCGGGTTTGTGTTGCTTGAAGACGGGATATCAGAATATCTTTATCTCCACATCTTCTCCTCCACTACGTGAAGGCTTTTTGTCGCCACTTGAGAATAGGGCAAACTTAAGGGACACTTGATCGAATCCTAAATTAAGCTTTAATAACATTTTACATGGGAGATGAAACCTTGATTGCAAGATAAGTAGTATTCTGCTAAGCCCAGCTTGAGACTATACAAATCGTCAGATTTAGTGCATCACAAATACTTGACTTAACAAATAACATATGAACAAATACATATTAGCTCACCAGTGATCTTGATATACTGCGCGGGAGTATGTTGAGTATTCAATGTTTCGATGACGGCTTCAAGTCCAGCTGAGTCAAAGGCGCTCTTCAAGTCAATGCAGGTGCGAGAGAGCGGCGTCTCGTACCCTCGCGATACTGCAGTGAGCCTTGATACCCTATTTGTATGTGGCCTGTCATAATAAAAAATAGAAGATTTGGCGTCTTCATACCCTCTGCGGGCATGCGTCAAACGCGTTCTACTTCATAGCCGAACAGGCTATGAATGCGTGCGAGCCTATTACAATAACTTGCGGGGGATAGCCGATACCTATAATACCTATTACCAAGTCAGTGCTTTTATCCCTCCAGATTACTGTGATACTAATCTAGCGTTCCCGGAGGGTAGAGTGTAACAAATGAAGACGAGTTATACAGTCAGTACTATAATGTCGAATACCACTTGACGATGTCGCCAAAATATCAACTGCCACGCGGGTCTTTAGAGTGAGTTGTGCACGAGGAGATACCTCAAACTTGGGTAATTAAATCTTCATTGACAAATATAAAATTCAAATAAACGATATTGTAAGCGAAATATAATACCAGCTTAACATGAGATTCTTATTATGGCAAAACGTTAGTAATAAAATACGATTGATATGTTTTGGCCTAAATGAACTGAAAATCAGTGTGACTATGCAATGATATACTGGGTAAATCTAGCGAGCAGGACTAACTACATGAAGCAAACGATGAGCAGTGACGCGTGATTCATCGTAAAGAGGAGATTACCAGCTGCGTTCTTGCTCCTTTCTCATACGTGCAGCTGCAGTCTAAAGCATGCAGAAAAAAGAATAGCTGCTGCGCTTGAACACTTACTTTGCAAGTAAGATATATAGTTTCACAGAATATACGAATTATGAAAATGTCGGTCGAGTTTCTCGACACTCCAGACCTGCTTGATGATCGTTTTCTTTCTGTCGCTGTCGCTTGCTCCTTATTGTCGGCTTCGCGTCTCATCTGCTTTACCAATAGCTCCACCACTATGTTCGTCGATGTTCGCATTTTCATCGTTGTTGTTCGGTGCTTGATGCGCGTGTGATGCAATCGGTCTCAAAACGGCGTTAAAGCAGGGACTCATGTGGGGGTTGCTGGATGGCAAGACATATGGGATCGAGGGAGCCGATGTTACTTGTAGGCATCCGATGCAGGGGTCATTGATGTTTAAGGGGGTTCAGAGGGAGCATGGATGTGGAGCTCCATAAGGCGTAATTGGAGACGTTAGCTCTTTGGCAGACAGCCTCGGGCATTTGTACGCTAACTTGTCCATCAGCTGTGATTGCCTCTCGCGGGGGGAGAATGTTTGTCGTGGAACTCGAACCGCTGACGGTGTGCTTGTCTTGTCTTCACAGTTAACTCGTTTAGTTGACGACTGCAGTGTTTGAAGCACTTCTTGGTTGCTTTCAGCAAATCATTTGTTTGCATCTTCGCATTCGTCCTTCCGTGACACTGGATTGGTTGTGCTGTCGTCTTTCGTCTTCCAGCAGAATGTTCAGCAGTGGCATATGACGGCTGCGTTTGAATCTCGGCATCTTTCAGAGTAGAAGTGGTTGAACGGGTGTCGAGGATGGACGTTTGAGTTTCAACATTGCAGGTGGGCTTTGGGTTACGGTTGATTAGCTCCTCAGGGATCAAGCAAGGGGTAACTTTCGGTGTTTCGCCTTCACAAATCTCGAGCAGGAATTTTGTGACAAAAGAACTGTGCACGACATCTTGTCGTTGGAGATCTTCGTTTTCCTCTTTTAGTGTCTTGATGCCGGTTACGAGCAAAAGAATGGTATCCATGCATTTTCCAAATTGATCAGCAGCAGCTGCAGCTTTTCCCTCAGGAGGCTGATACGGGACGTCAGTGTTGCTGGTTACCATCAGTTTGAACGCAGGTGAACTTCAACTGTTCATGCACTTGTTGTAGTGAACCTGTTTTTGAAGGCGAAGTTCTGCTATGAGTGAAGCTGAAGGTGTGTCGTCCTGAGAGTTACCAGGTGCAGGTGGGACTGCCTTGCCACTTATAGTGTCTCGATCCTTGTCTGTCGACAACACCTTGTCTGGCTTTGGTGTGACGGAAGTAGTACATAGTCCCTTTGCCTGTTCTGGATATGGTGCTAAAACGGTAGAAGGCATTAACGCTGGGGCTTTCGAAGTGGGTGGCGGTGCAAGAGGGTGAGGATGAGGGGGAATTCTCCGCAAAATTTTGTCATTGCGACCACGCGGCTTAGCCTTCTTGTATACATCATCTTCTCGTTGCATTGTATTCTTTGCTTCAGGTGTGGGTCGCAAAGATTGCGCAAGTGCTGGCACCTCATGACGTTTTACGGCGGAGAAATTGTTTCTTGTGCTATTATTTTTTGGTTTCGGAAGAGCTGCAGGCTTGGGTATTGCTCGTGCTCCGGCCTTCGTAACATTCGGTGAAGCATGCTTAGCCGCTTGTCGTGTTGTTTCCCTCTCGTCTGGTTGTGCAGTGGACGTGAGCAGGATAAGCACGTTTACGCTGTCATTCATTGTGCAAACAACCTCCCACTTCGCTAAATTGTCATTTCTCTCGTACGACTGTAGGTGTTTTGCAGAATTGACCTTTTGTCTGAAGTTGTCTTCGCTAACCGCATTCACCTTTGTTGCTTTGCTGTGCGGTGGGAGTCGTTCCAAGTCTCGGGCTTTGGGTTCCTTCCTTTCGCTCAACGGTGGACATCGGAAGCACATCCGTTTTTTGCAAATGGAAGTTGAGTGCTGTGCTGAGACGTAGATGAGACAGAATTCATTTTCGCGTAGATAGTTAGAGCGTTCTTGTGGATGGTGTACCTTTTGCAATCCGCTGGCTTGTGGCTTCCCTCACAATACATGCGAGTCCCTAAGTATGTTTTTGTTCGATCAGATCGTTTCTTGTGCTGCTTGATAGGTGTTGGCTTCGGCTTGGCGTTCTTCATGTATACCGCAAGCATTTCGTCTGTGGAGATTTCTTCTTCAAAATATTGTATAAGTGGGTCGAGGTTGAAATTGGCTCCAGAGTTGATTGCAGCTTGTTTGCGTACTATTACTTTGCGCTGTACCGTATTCGGAAATTTCGTCAGAACTTGCTGATACATTTACTGGTTGTCCACTTGTACTTCTTTCTGTCGCAGCTGCATGATGATGACTTGCAGCTGCTCGAAGAGTGTTCGCTGATCACGAATGGATGCCGAATGCAGGTGGCACTTCCCGAGTTTTTCAATGAGATGCGTGACGAGTTCGTCGCGGTCACCGTACTTGTGTTGAAGAGGCTCGATGGCTTTTGAATAATCTCCTTTGAGGACTTGGAACGTCTTGATTAGTACGAGAGCATCTCCTCGAAGAGATCGCAGTAAATGTTGAATTTGCACAACTCCGGTATATTTCTTGAATGGACATTCTCGTTGAACAGTTCCCAGAAATTGTCCCACTCCCATATGTTTCCTTGAAATATGGGTATAAGAAGTGTGGGAAGGTCCGATCATTCCTGCGGAGGCTGCGATGGCGTTGGTACTTGGACTGATCCACTCTGTTGGTTTTGCTCTGGCTCTACTTTGATCGCAGTGAATGTGTGAACTCTTGCTTTCAGCACCAGTGAGTAATCCGTGGCTGAAATGAGCGCTTTTTCCGCTTTTGCTTGATACTCCTCAAAATCTTGTTTGTCCTTTTCTGTCGGGTAGTTTAAATCCTTAAATTTGGTGGCATAGCTCGTCAGTGAATGTTCGATGTTAAGCGTTGCTGCATCTAATGCTCCTATTGCTTCGTTGAGTCGTTGGAGACTTTCCCTTATGTATTGAGAAGATGATTCTCTTTGCGCTGCGGCTACGTTAAGGGTCTCAAGTTCCTCTCCCTTGAATCTTGAATTGATAGTGTCCAGCTTATTACAATAGTGAGTCAAAAGGCGTTTGTCCGTTATCAAATGTGCAGCCATAATCAATTGCAGTGACCAACAATGCTTTAGGACAGACACGAAAGGTTTTCAGACTTCAGTGGTTCCGTAATGCGAGGAGCGCCATCGGTCTTGTGCGAAAAATTCTTCAAATTGTCGATTTTGATGTGACAAGAGCGGATCAGGCAAAAACTTATATCGTTCCGAGATATGAAGACAGCAAACTAGAGCTCTAGTGTAGGTTCTAATATGTCCACAATCAATTGTTGTACTTCACCGACCTAAATCCGTGTAGTCGATGCACCATGTAACAAATGAAGACGAGTTATATAGTCATTACTATAATCGTCGAATACCACTTGACGATGTCACCAGAATATCAACTGCCACGCGGGTCTTTAGAGTGACGGAGTTGTGCACGAGGAGGTACCTTAAATTTGGGTAATTAAACGGTAATTAAACCTTTATTGACAAGAAAGTGTAAATAAACGATATTGC